TCTTATTACACTTTTTTCCAAACCATATAAGAGCACATTCTTTATCCAGTGTTTTTTAGAGCAAATAAGAAAAGTGAGATTACTTATGCCTCTTATTATTAACATTACCTACAATAAAGCACAAGCCATCAATAGTAAATAAGAAGAAAAAAAGTAAATTAATTATAAATAGTTCGTAACCTACCTAACTTATCACTTTTTCTAATATTTTTATTTATTATTTGTTTCTACTCTTCGATTCGTCTGTATTTTCCTCCTCGGCTCAATAAGTTCTTAGAACATGTTTAGGTGATTCAAGTCAATTATATTTATTAACTATTTGGATTCTCTTAAATAATGTTGTAATTTTTTTAATTATTGATTGATGATTTATAAAATGCTTATGAAAAAAAAATTGGACAACATTTTGTTTATACAACAGAGCCTCCATAATCTCAAAGGTGCATACATTCTTAACTCAATCTTGGGCAACATTTTGATTAATAGGACCAACCCTTGTACCTCCAGAGTCAATCAACCATTACTTTACTTCTAAGCACCTATAAATTTAAACTTATAATTTGAAACTTGATCATTAACCTAAGAACCAACTAAAAAACCAACAACCTTGGAACCGTTAATCACCCCAATCAAACGGTTGAAACACTTGCCAAGCTCATAGGGTGCTGCTGCAAGTGGAACACCCCTATTAATCACCAAACCAATCAATTAAACCATCAATTCAATCAATCCACTAAAATATCAAATTAATCCATTCCATTTAATCTAAATTCAGATTTATGAATTGAATTCAGGGATATTTGATAAATTATAATTTAGTATTCATACTTTCTATAACTTACATGTTGATACCTAAAATTATACTTTTTACATAAAACTGAAAAATTATCTTTTGGTACATATTTTTTTTTAACTATTACTCTGTAGTGACAAACTTGTCAAAATTCACATATTGGTCGATGATGTAGATGCCACTTGGATCCATGATTCAATCCATAAATCCATAATTTTATTTGATCCATAACTCCACCAGTACATCGATCAATTCATTTGTCACCTCTAAACGAAATCGATCCACCACCGTCATCTTCCTTGTCAAATTCTTTCCTGGAGTGGGATGGATCATGGAAGATAAGGAAAACAATGAAGAATAAGAAGAAGGGAAGAATTAAATGAAGCAGAATTGGTAAAAATCGAGAAAGGGGATGGAGAAAATTTATCTCATGGTGCCAAGTTGCATTCCCAATCCCCACCACATAGGTTACCCAAAACCTAATAAAAAATATCACACAAAAACCACAGCTTAGCCAGACGTTGATAAATAACATGCTTTGAGAGAAGAAAACCCAATGTGCATGCTAGCAGTAGCAGACTTCTTATGAAAGAGTAACTCAATTATTACTGTAATAAATTTTTATTATTATATAAATCCATTATTTTTTTACAAGAATGATATAAATCCATAGAAAGATATATGTTTATTGTTTGGTAGCTTTGGGTCAGTTCAGGTCTGTGGAGAAGACAAAAACTTTATTGGAAAAGGGTCCAAGGGCAAGACTCAAGACTGTACTCTGTATAGTAGCCTAGAAGGCTAGAACGGTGGTTGGTAATGGTATACTGTTTAGGGAATTAAGCCATAAAGGGTTATCATTATATCTCGTAATATGCTCAGGAGAAGGATATGATTGAAGGGGTACCCCAGCTGGATTTGACATTTATTTAATGGAAAATATCGCACGGGACCATAAAATTTCTTCAACTTGATGTTCTTGTATCAATTTCATTTCTTTTTATTTTAAAAAATGTACCACAATAAAGTGAGGAAATTGGTGATCTACAGTAGTTTTACCTAAAATTGTTGAGCGATTCCTAGTGTCTTCGCGTGAACCTGCAGAGATTCGGAACAAAGTTAGTGTACTAAGGGAATTCAAACTACTAATCTTTGAGATCGTAACGATACATAAAATTTGAAAAATCATAATTGTTTAACATGAGTGAATACTGAAGAATTTGATGATACGGAAGGAAACTAACACAAAAGACAAGGGATTTTACGTGATATTCTCGATCGATTGATCGATCGAGACTAATCCACGATGAGCTTGAAAGAGCTCATGACTACGTTTTAACAACTACATTGTGACGGCTTGCTTACGACAATCTCGTAGCTAAGCTTATATAGAGATAGACTTAGGGTTTAAATCCTAATGACAACCAAGTTTCCTTCTTTTACCAGGACAAGGAAACAAGTGACTCGGAGGACAAAGAATTAATTACTTTTTGACTAAGTAATTAATATCGTCAACAAATACCACGGCTTTTTTGTTGTTGCTATTTGGTATATTGCAATCATACGTGATTTGAGTTGATTTAACATGCGTTCGTACGACATTTAACCGGGTAAGAAGTTGTTTGGATGGATCAATTGAAAAACGAATTAATTTGGTCCAATTGTCTGGGGCCACCCCAGACTATTGTAATTGCCTCAGATAGAGTCAATTTAAATTTCTCCAAACAACAATTGCTTCTTCTTAATTTTATGCTGTCAAATAGATATCTCAAACCGAAATAATTGATTCAAATTCAAATTGATCCATTAAATTCTTTATCCAAACCATTTTACATGGTGACAGAAAATGATTCTACAATCTACATTATTCCCGTCATGGATAGGATTTCATGTACCGGGAATCGAATACATAACCTTAAAATAAAAAGTGTACCTACTCACCACTTATGCTGACCCTCATTTGCTTTGCGGTCAGGGACAAGCTCTTGAAAGGAGAAACACGCATCCTTATCAAAAGATCAACAACTCAAATCTAAGGCAAATGTAGCTATTACATAATGTTACGAGAATTTATTTCATTGTAAAATGAATTACCACGTAGAATTCATTTTCAAATGAATCTTGTGTTTGGTATGCCATATTCCAATCTTTAGAAATAAAATGAATTGCACCGTAGAATTCATTTTCAAATGAATTCTTGTGTTTGGTATGTCATATGTATAAGTAATTTAGTTAATAAAAGAAGATAATTATGTGATTCTATTATAATTAGTAAATACTTGTGGAATTCATTTGGAAATTCCATCTCAATTCCTCGAAATTGCTATAACTAGTTCCAATTCCATAGAATTCAAATTTTAGAATTGAAAATGAATTCATTTAAATACCAAACGCAAAAATATTTCATTTCCAAATGAATTTCTCAAAATTTATGGAATTCATTTATACCAAACGGTACGTTAGTCAATTTTCAAGGTGAGATTACACATGTCAGAAGCTCATTGACCACACGTGTTACATTGAGCTCCACAGGCATGCAAACTCAGAGATTGACCACGAAAATGTATTATGTGCTGAAAACAAACAAGAGGGCAAAGAGGAAGAAATAGCTATTTAAGTCGTTTACTATGATAACAGTGGGAGAATGACACAAATATTGTGTTTTTTTTTTTAATTTACCACAAATATTGCGAATTAAAAAGAATTGACACAGATATTGTGTTTTGGAGAAAAGAAATGGCGAGACCACTTGAGACTAAGGTGGGGCCGCTGTTTGCAAAATTTTTAATCCAGTCTTGGGCGCTGGCGCCGAAGTCTCCAGAGGCCCCGCCCCTCACCCTATTTTTTTAAAATCGACGAGCCCCTTATCTCTTCTTCTTCTTCCCTCCTCCCCCACACCCCCCCCCCCCAAACCAGCGCCGCTCCTCACACACGCCGCCACCGTCTCAGGCCCGCCGTCTCAAGCTCTGCCGCCCAGGACCAAGGCGTCGATGCCGCAGAGCAAGGCGCCGTCGCCGCAGAGAGAAGCGCTGCCGCTGCCGACCGAGATGTCCTCCGACGAAGAACCCGTCGCCGGCAGAGGCGGGGGAGAGGCCGGCGAGGTCGTGGTGGAGTCGGCGGCCGTTTGCGCGGTGAGATTCTCGTCGGCCGCGGCTTGCTTTTTTTTTAATGTTTAGTGTTTTTTTTAATTAATGTTTTGTTGCTTTGTTTTTGCAGTTCCTAAACTTATGGACCCTTATTCGATGAGATTACCGCCGGCGACAATTGATCCAGGTCCGGTCGATCCAGCACTTCTTTGGGGACATGGCCAACATCGTATCGACTCTGTTTGGACAAACGAGGTAAGTATTTGATAATTATTTATGTAAAGTTAATTAGCTAATTAGATTAGATTATTTTAGTTGGTGAACTGAACTGAACTGTACTGAATTAGAATAGGATACGTATCAAATTTGTTGAAATTAGTATACTTTGAGATTAGATTAGATAGATTAGAATTTATTATTAGGTGAAATTAGAATTATTACGAATGAAAATGAATTAATATAAGTTTTGTGCACTATAGGCTGGTGATCGATCTTACCATGTTCGAGGTACGACCATTTTAGTGACGTACCATGAGCTTTATCGGCCATATCTCGAAGCGGCAGGCTTGCTAAGTGTCGTGCCCCTAGTCCCTATGAACCCCGATGCGAGTTTGATTACTGCGCTCGTAGAGCGGTGGCGACCCGAGACGTCGACCTTCCATCTACCATTTGGTGAGATCACGATCACGTCAGAGGACGTTGTTACACTGTCCGGTCTGGCGATCGACGGTGATGTCGTCGTAGTTGATATACCGGATGAGGAGTGGTCGGCGATCTGTTTGAGACTGTTAGGACGGGTTCCGGCTGATCTTTCAGGCGGTGTCGGTGTCGTTAGGATTGTTTGGCTGAGGGATGAATTCAGTCATCTGCCGGAAAATGCATCAAAGGAGGTTATAGAGCAGTTTGCACGAGCTTATGCTCTATCTCTGATGGGAGGTGTACTTTTCCCAGATCGGTCTGGATCTACGGGGCACCTACAGTACCTACTTCTGATTGAGGATTGGCAGAGAGCTGGACGGTTCGCGCTGGGGAGCTGTTGTTTTATCCTACCTGTACCGTGAGATGGGTAGGTCGACTTTGCACATTTCGCATACCGGCACTTCTCTAGCTGGTGACCTTGGTGGATGGGTCGCCCTACTGCAGTCTGGGCGTGGGAGCGATTCCCACATCTGGCACCTCGACATTCAGAGACGAGGGCACAGAATTCCGAGGATGCATCCCCACGTGGCCTTCGATGGCTTTCGGCCAACAGTCGTCAGTATGGTGACCAGCTATTTCAGTACAAGCTGTGGTTTGACGCGATGGACACCGTGGTGGTTAGTATATAACATTCCATTTTATAAAATAGTTTTCATTTGTTTTATTTTTTTAGATTTAGGGATAATAACATTAATTTTTTTTATGTAGTGGCAACCTTACCTTGAGAGAGCACTTCATCTCAGAGGTAGTGTGATACAGTCTGAGACATTTCAAGCAGTAGTGCCACTTATCTGCTTTTCATCGGTGATGTGGCATCATCCAGACCGCGTGCTCCGGCAGTTTGGCATGAGGCAGCATGAGCCTCATCAACCACATCCTGAGGCTGAGGTTCGGTTTTTTCTTTGTCAGACTACTCGTGGGCCATCGCGTGGGCAACAGTTGGTACACGCCTCCAGAGAGTCGCTTGCTTTCTGGAACCGTCGACACGAGTTCGTAGCGATGGCTCCATACACTGATGAGTAGTTAGCCTACCACTCGGAGCATATGGAGTGGTATAGAGATGTCACCAGGCGTGCCAGCACACGGAGTGGAGCTGCACGGGAGGCATTGGTAAGTATTTTTTTGTATTTGTCTTGAATTTGTTAACTGTGTGAAATATCTGACTTTTATTTGTGTTTTTTAGTACGACACTATTGAGCATGCTGAGGTGAGTTTACGTGACGGTGCACGCGGTGGAGGGTTGACCCCCGACCAGTGTGAGGACTTGACCAACATTATGGCATCGGGGGTTGCTACTCTAGGTTTGGAGCGGCGCAGACACCCTAATCTCACAGTACCTGTGCAGCCCCAGTATGATCAGCCTGTCATGACTGCCTAGCCAGAGCATACTGATCCGACACCGGGTTGGGCCGTCCTGGAGCCACAGTTCAGACAGGAGCATAGGCCACGTAGACAACGACGTGAGCATCGTGATGTACCTAACCCGGTCCGGATTTCAGATCGACAGCGAGCACATCCCATCCGGCCTACTACGAGTAGGTTCTAGTTTAACCCGCCTCGACAGCAGTTTCAGGCAGATCCTTCCTCGAGCTTTCAGCCTCCGCCTCGACAGCAGTTTCAGGTAGATCCGTCTTCGAGCTTCTATCAGCAGAGGATAGCTTCCATACCCCGCAGCATACTACGATGGGAGGCGGAAACATGGCCTTAGGTGGTGATACTAGAGCAGCCTCGTCTCCCAACCTGTGGGACAGCCTAGAGGGTGATCAAATTTTTCAGGAGACAATGTGGAATTATGAGCAGCATCTTCAGTCTCAGCAGCATGGTGGCGGTGAGCCTGAGGAGCAGATTCAGTCTCAGCAGGAAGATATGTTCGGTACACAGGATCAGGATGGTGGTGTCGAGGGAGATCAGCCCCATTAGTATGATGGTGGACCTCTGCGTAACAGGGTGGCTGCGAGGTGTGGTACTGGCGGCCATCTAGTGGTGGAGCATGGTGGTCGTCGTGGTGGTCGTCAGTGAGACTATTATGTAGATTATTATTTTTGGATTGTTATTATTATGTACTTCCTTGAGACTATTATGTGTGGACTATTATGTGTGGACTATTTTTTATGTTATTATTTTATTAACGATAAAAACCATAACAACTACATACCAAACTACAACAACTTCAAACAACAACTTCTACATGGTAAATCGAAGGAAATACAACAACTACATACCAAACTACAACAACTTCTACATGGTAAATCGAAGGAAATACAACAACTACATACCAAACTACAACAACTTCAAACAACAACTTTTACATGGTAAATCAAAGGAAATACAACAATTATTACATTTGAACAAACTTCTCACCCACGTCTATTACATCTACTTCCTCTTCTACCACCTCTCGCACTTGGTTGGCCACCACTCCCTCTTCGGTTGCTCCCACTCCCACTAGCTTGGCCACCGCAGGTTGATGCATTATGTCCCGCTTGGTTACAGTTGCTACACACTTGGTGTGATGCACCCTCCCTTGAACAATCCATCTCGTTGTGAATCCTTGTAACTCATGGCCTCCCCGGCTACCTAATCATGTGCACATTAGGATGGAGAGTAGGACCATTATGCTTCTTCCAACCCTTAGGTTCACCAAGAGGTGCGAACTTGTCCCATAACAAGCCATCATTGTTTCCAGCTTGTAGACATCGTTTACAAACCTATACGCATTAGCCCCCATTCGGTTGCAAGCTGCAATCGCATGAGAGCAAGGAATTTTATTTCCTTGAAATTTACCACAGGTGCAAAATCCCTCCCGGTTTTGATCGTCAAAGTGCACTGTGAGTGTGTTTGACCCCGTCATGTTTAAATTGTTGGGGGGAGTCTGAACTACATAGATGCCTTGACTCCGATCAAGAGCTGTCACAGAATGTCCAACTGCCTTTTGTGACCACGGCTTCATCAGCTCTTCGCACTTGGTGGAGTACTGTGAAGGACCACTTCTAATTTCTGCTCCTGTCTCCAACCTGTACTTATCGAATTTCTCCACCAATCGCCAATAGGTATGTTGCACAAGAGAAGCTATAGGAAGTGCACGAATACCTTTGAAAACACCATTGATGCTTTCTGCCATGTTGGATGTCAGCATAAACCAACGACGCCCACCATTGTAGTTATCATGTGCTAAACTCCAACGAATCTGATGTTGATCCACCCAGTTATCACATGAAATATTTCTATCACTGGCCACCTTCTTAAATTGCTCAACTTGACGATCGAACTTCTCCAACCGTTTTTCTCCGGCTAACAAAATAAACAACCACACGGATTAGATAAATTCATGACAAAATTACATGAAAATAAATAACAAAATTAAATGAAGAAGGCTTACCGACTCGAAATAGTTGCTTATACATAATTCTTCTTTTAGTCTTCCTTTGCAAATTGCTTGCATAGTGTCGCATGCACCACCTCCACTCCCAACCTCTTCCGATGTTATTCATGGCTTCATAGAGTCATGCATGTCTATCTGAGATGATTCATACATCGTTTGGATCAGTCAAACCCTGAACGTTCCTTATGAACCATGGCCAACTCTCAGTATTCTCGCTCTCCACTATGTCATAAGAAATGTTCCATCAACAACCATGATGCCTGGACAATTCTTGAATCCATCTATACAAGGTCCATAAGCCCAGAATACTCGCTGAAATATTGAATGACCTGGTTGAGTCGAAGGAACTCTTACCCAATCAATAACCGATGTTGGCATTTTTCGCTTGACTACCCGCAAGAATGTTTGCAAAAAATTGTAGGATTCTTCCCAATTTCCATGCAACTTCTCCAATGCTCTTTGTTTCCCATACCAAACCTTCTTGTAAGTAACTTGCGTATTAAACTTATCTTTCAACTCGGCCTGCACAGTTAGAACACTCAGATTTGGTTGGGCACGTACCAAATGTTTGACGGCCTCAGATATCATGTCGACATCAAGATGGCGATGATCCGTCGGTTGAGTCGTCCTGCTACAAGAATGCACCAACTCAGCCTTTCTCACAGTCCATTCGCCTCCAACGTCTCGACATCCAAACCGCACCATCCAAGGACAATTGTCATCCTTGTGTCTCAAGCATTTGACCTTCCAGATTGAAGGTGACGACTCTACCACGCCATATTGAAAGTTGCGTTGTAGTGCGTGGTGTTTAATCGCCATCTGTGCAGCTTGTTTCGAGTGAAATATCTGCCCCTTGTAGAATTCTCCTTCAAAACTATCAATAATAGGCATTGGAATTACGCCATATGAATCAACAAGTGAGTATTCTTCATCCTCTTCATTACCCTGCAAGTAAAAATATGGAGGATAATTAGGCTGCTCTCCTTCCCCCTCTTCCTCCTCCTCCTCCTCCTCCTCCTCCTCCTCCTCCTCCTCATCTTCCTCCTCTCCGTCTTCACCGTCATCATAGTCATGATCGGATGGCACACTCCATGTATCATCTTCTTCCTCTCCACCCTGATCCTCACTGAGCTCAACATGTATCTCAGCACCCAACAATAAGGATTTTGTGCCATAAAATTTCAAAGCACATTCAAACTATCATCATCCACAATAGGCATCGCATAATGAAATAAAACACTATTCTGCCATTCGGGAAGACGGTAAGTGAAACATGTGATCACATCACTATCTTGTACTGCTTCGTCTCTACGCCGTATTCTCGGAATTAGATTCTCACAAAGATAATGATATGTGACCCTGGATGGAATCGTCATCTGAAAACTACTACCACCAACGAATTTGACGCCCAAATTATCCTTTACTTTCTCCGATTTCCACCGAACGACTAGTTCAAATCTTCTAAAATCACTACAAAAAACAAACTCACTAATTAAAACTAAACACAATCATAATAGCATTTGAATAATATAATTACAAAAATAAATGTGTCTCTTACCTATTAGCCATTTTTGCAGCAGCAACCAGAGCTCTCTCCTTTGTCTTGGACGATTTTTTTTGTGGTATGAAACTGAAACGAAATTGGCTGGTTTATATAGGGGGTGGCCAAATAAGCCACCGCCTGGGATAATTTCCCCACCAACTCACCTTGGTCTTAGGCGGTGCCGCCTGAGTCTTGGGCGCGGCCGCTGTCACTTTAAATAAAACGATCCAAAAAGTCATCCATAGTGGCAGCGCCTGAGACTCAGGTGGTCTCGCCATTTCTTTTCTCCAAAACACAATATCTGTGTCAATACTTTTCAGTTCGCCATATTGGTAGTAAATTAAAAAAAAACAATATTTGTGTCATTGTCCCGATAACAGTAAGAAGTGCAAATATCTTAATACTAATAAGTGATAATGTAGTTACTGCTGCATTAGAGATTGGTTAAAATGATAAGCACCTTTAATTGATATAGATGACAGCCAGCTCTAAATTACACAACTGCCATTATAGAGTCTTTTTTTATCGGCGGTTTTCTTTTGAAATGATAATTTATATGCTTTTGTGATCAGTTTAGATTAATTTTATCTAACCTACTTCTTCATCTTTTGCTAGAGAAAATCATCTCCTACCTTCTTTTTTTTTATACGGTGCTTTTTCTCTTCCCTTCTTCCTCACCAAAATGCAAGGCTATTTGTTCTTTTAGTTTTCTTTCACTCTCATTGATCACAGTATTTTGTGCTTTAATCGTACAACCGTGGTTAAAATCAAACTTGAGATGTTTCAATTCGAGCTTTAATTTATGTTTAGAAAAAATCAAAAATTGTAAAATCAAACCGAAGGTCGTACCGGAAAAGTAAGTATTAGGGTATTTTGTATAAAAATCGTAGTTCAAAAGTGGTTAAATCAGGCTTGACACTTTGCTCCAACCGCATCCTCAATGTATATATGTTTAGAAAGAACCAAAAATTATAAAACCATACTGATGGTAGTATTGGAAAAGTTAGCATTAGGGAATGTTGTGCTAAAATCGTAGATCCATCGCGGTGAAATCATTTCATACAGCTAAAATTCCCTACTGATTTAGATTTTGTTAGAAAATTTTCGATTGGACCGCTAGTACTGTACAATCGTAGTTCAACCGTGATTAAATCCTGCTTGACAAGTTGCTCCAACCTGAGCTTCGATTTATGTTAAAAGAAAACCAAAAATTGTAAATCCATAACTAAGGTTGTACCAGAAAAGTTAGCATATGTATTTTGTGCTAAAATCGTAGTTCAATGGATCTTAAGAAAAAAACCAACACAAATTGTAAAACCATACTAAAGGTCATACCGGAAAATTTAGAATTAGGATATTTTGTGCTAAAATCATAGTTCAATCTTGGTTAAATAAGGGTTGGTACGTTGCTCCAACCCGAGACTCGATGTATGTTTAGGGAAAAAAAACAAAAAATTGTAAAACCATTCCTAAAGTTGTACCGGAAAAGTTAGTATTAGGGCATTTTGTGCTAAAATTGTAGTTCAACCGTATCATTTGA